GGAAGATGTTACGAAACCATAAAACGACAGCTTAGACAGCATCAAATCTATGTTAATAGAATGAAATGCTCTTGAAAAATCAAGCAGGGTAAGGATCGTACCTCTACCAGAGTCTTGTGATGTAAGAATATTTTCTCAGTAAAGCAGTAGACGTGCCTTTCTACGTCTACCTTTTCTAAAACCCGACTGTAAGTCAGGTAAAATATTGTTAGTATCACAAAACTTGATGACTTGATTATATATAATTTTTTCTAAAATTTTAGAAAGAAACGGCAGTATACTTATTGGTCTTAAGTCTTTTAGATTTTTAGGATCATTGTTTTTAGGTAAAGGACATACGAGAGCTATTTTCCACGAAGAAGGAAAAGTAGATGATTCAATTGACTTATTTACGATTGCTGTAATCACCTTTAACGTAGCCGGAAGTGATAAGATGATCATATCCCTATTTCTCAATTTATCAATACCGTGAGCATTTGATTTTATTTATAAAATAATCTTTGCAACATATACTTCACTTACATTATGAAGTTTAAATTCATTACACCCAAATCTATGAAACTCATATTCAGTTAAATCAGAAATGGTTAAATTATTATTCCCGGGAACATTAAGAAAATGGTTATTGATTATATTTGGGTCGTCGAAAAACACAGGAAGTGCTGTCGATTGCTTAATGTTGGGAAAGACGGACCGTTTCAAGTTCTTCCACAATAATTTGGGGTGGTTTAAGTTATTATTGATTTAATTATTAAAATATGTTTTTTTTCTCCCAGTATATACTAAATGTGTAAATAACAACAGTCGCTCAAATTTATATAGCGCAAAAGCTGTATGATTAGAAATCTTTGCTAACCTTATTAGCTAATCGCTCAGCGTAATTACTAGCATAGAGAGAGTCCTAAAAAACGAAGAAATTTTTTATAGCTGAAGTCTTTATACATATGACGTTTAACTTAGTACAAAACAAGATAGCTATCTTATTCACAGCAACCAACCTTTAAAAGAAAGAAGTTCTTTTAAAGGTTGGTTGCTGTTTTTCCATTCCATAGACATTTCTATTGCTGTGCCATTAGCGAAAGCAAAACCGTTGTCGATAAATTAATTTAGTCTATGATTTAGTAAAATTAAGGATTTTTATTACTCCGGTTCGTAATACTGATGTGTAAGTGTTTGGAAGCTTCATTTGACATCTTACAACAAAACGTAGTTGAATAAAGCTGAATTTCGTACTATCGTTGTATAATTTAAAAATATATCGGAAAAGTTAATGTTATCTACTTCAATAAAGCCGATATATTTTTGCCAAAAATACTAAGACTTAGTATGGACTTCACAAAGAATAATAACTGTGTTTGTTTAATCGACTATTACTTTATGTCACGGGACGTTCACAAAGGGCACTGCTACAACAGTTTTATTTATATAATAAGGGTGCCAAACAAATACACAGTCCACCTTGTGGCAAATATATGCTGTGTCCCATAGACATCTACATTTATCCTCGATTGAAAATAAAAGGCAGATGCGTTGTCAAGGACTAAGATGAAATGCTTCGTTTCCAGTAAAAAGGGTCACCGGTTCTTTACACCCAACACAACCTTATGCTGCTATTTTACGCTGGTATTTTGCGAGAGCGTGGTTCTACCACGGCCAAGCTAACCTATTCGTGCTACAACTATTACAGCTGCAGCGTGGTTTTACCACAAAAAGTAATAGATTGTTTTCCAAAATGGTTCCATGTTCTGTTAGCGAATATGGTGTCAATAATTTATTTAATCCATATGGTTGCGCATTTCGCATTTAAATTCGCAAGACGTAATTACTACTATGACGCGTCTATTTCAATTATACCGGGTGTCCGGTGGCAGAATTAGGATTTCAAAATTAAATAATAAAAAAACTGCAAAATATTTTTTTTTATTTCAATGACTATAACAAAGAAGGGAAGTGCGGGTTTTATTTCTTAAAAATTATTTCGTCTAAATGTTGACCATCACGTCGGACACACTCTTGGAATCTGGCTTCAGTATTGCGCGCCACTCGCTGGAGAAGGGACGTCGGGATGCCATTAACCTCGCGAACGATATTTTCTTTTAATGCTGAGATGGTCGGTGGGGCGGTTTCATAAACTTTACTTTTGAGGTACCCCCACAGAAAAAAGTCCATGGGGGTAAGATCCGGCGACCTGGGTGGCCAGGGGATGTCAGCAAAACGGCTTATCAATTTGTTAGGGAACAAATCACGAAGAAGCGCCATGGTCTCTCTAGCAGTGTGAGGCGTGGCGCCATCTTGCTGAAACCATGTCTGTGAACTGTAGGCAGGATGTTCTCTTAATATTGGCAGGAAAAAATCGTTAAGCATTCGCCGATAAGAAACGCCGGTTACAGTAATGGCTTGTCCTTGACGATTTTCAAAAAAATAGGGTCCGATTATTCCTCTGCTTGACAATGCACACCAAACCGTCACTTTGGGACTGTGAAGTGGCTGTTGATGTTTCAATCGCGGGTTCTGTCCTTTAGGTGACCAATAACGGCAGTTCTGTTTATTTACACTTCCATTTAAATGAAAATGGGCTTCATCGCTCCAAAAGATTGTGTTCACTGTACGAAATCGCTGCAACATTGTTTCGCAGAAACTTTTGCGCCAATTGTAATCATTAGGCTTAAGCGCTTGCACAATTTGAATTTTAAAGGGGTGAAGTTTAAGGTCCTTTTTCAATATTTCGTGCACAATCGTTTTTGGGAGCCCTAGAGCAGCCGCTCTCTTACGCACGGACTGTCGCGGGTTATCGCGTAAACTGTTTGCGACAAGTTCGATGTTGTCATCAGTCCTCGACGTTCTGCTGGATCCCGGCCGCGGATTATTTGCTGCTGAACTTGTTTTTCTGAACCTCCGCACCCACAATCGAATCAAATTTTCGCTTGGCGCATCACGTAACCGTCGGATATTGTACCGCGAACAAAATCTTCGACGAGCAATAGCACAGGAATCGTTTGCTTTAAAATAAGCTTCGATTGCGAACGCACGTTGTTCACCCGTCCACTGCGACATCGTGACTAAGGAACCCGCACGAATGACGAATCGAACGTGACCCCCCCGCCCGCCCCTCCGCTAACGGTTCGAAAACAGTTCGAAATTTAAATCCTAATTCTGCCACCGGACACCCTGTATTATTAATTTTGATATTTTGGAAAGGAAAAAGATACGAAAAATTTGGTGAATTCATTTTTAAACAAAATATTTTACATATACGTTAGGGATTGACTCCACTATATTAAAATAAGTGTTGATATTTATCTTGAATATTTATAAAGAATAGATAGATTTGCCCAAACAACAAAAAAAGGAATGAAATTAATGCTGGATTTGCGCTCTGAAAACGTTATTTTATTTTGCTGTTTGTCAAACAGATTGCCCTCTGGATTCTATAATAAGAAAAATTATTAAGTATTATTATTTGAGTTGGGTTTGAATTCAAAGAAGAACTTAATAATTTGTTGCAAACATTTTACTGACAATTTTAAAATAAAAAGCAGAATAAAAACAATTTTATTAAAAGGAACCATTCCTACATTATTTGTACAAGTGAGTATAATATTGTTATAGTGAGGCTTTAAAACTATAATTTAAAAAGCAGCCACTATATAATCCGTGTCTCCATTTTTTATTTCACCAGCAAAACATTCAAAATGATTACTTTAAATATATTATATTGCATTTCCTCATTGACCCTTAAACAGAACAACCTTATTTCACTGATTTCTACAAGTTTCGTTACTTAAATTATTAAATTTACTTTAATATTTAAGTCTGTTGTTAAAATAAACTTTTCTAATGTATTTAATTATTAAAATTTTAAATGTTTGTAATTATTAAAATAAATATTTATATGAAAAATAAATCAGCAGTTTTATTTAACCAGTAAGACATTTTATAAAATATAAATATAGGTGTATATTTAATTGAGTATCTACTTATTAATATTTGATAAATGTTATGAAAAAAAAAATCCGGATAAACTGTCCATAGCAGGAAATATTTGTCTCTAAAGGTCATATTTTATAAATACAACTTTCCAATCCGATTCTGATAATACAAAAGGTAGTGGCGGAGAAAGAATATTCACTAACCAATATCATCCCTTGGGTGATCTAAGAGGCATATTACTGATAACAACTCAAAATAATAAAACTGCGGTTGACAACCCGCCTGCCAAGAGTATCAACTTCAGCAGTGGAATTTTATAGGTTGTGATTTGTGATTGCGAGAACATATTATTTGAATATGTTTTAAACTATTTTAGAATTGTTTTGGTAAATATATTTTGTGACCATTGACATTGAACAATTTATATTTACAAAAAAAATCCCGCTAGGTTTCTTGCTGGTTCTTCCCAGGACAGAGGTTTTTTTTCGAACTAGAAGTAAAATAAAAAGTTGACTTGCAATAAGAATTACTTGTAATCTATATTGAATACAAAATTATTCTATTGTATTCTCTTCAGTTAATTTTTAATAATATATAATAGTTTAGTACACGAAAGTTATTCAGTTTCATGCATTAAGCTATTTTTTTAAATCTTTTTACCGCTTCCTTAACAATCATTTTTCGATAGTCATTTCAAGTAAAATGTATATAACCAGTTAAGGCACACAATGACAAATCAAAATTTGTCACGCGTTTTCGGGGCGCTAGCGTAACAAGAGAAAACGATATGAATTTAACAGCTGTAAGCGGAGTGAAGTGTGCTGAGTTAAAAGTTTAAGTTTATATAATTAATATTTAGTTTAGGGGCGGCCCATAAAAACTAGCAGCTTACTTCAAAGAAAGAGAGCTACGTCATGGTCACCTCTACGAACTAAGATGGAATGCCCCATAAACTGTATTCATACTGGCACTAGGTAAGAGAGTGATACCTACCCAGACGAACTCCCAGGCATAAATGGGCTCCATAGAAGTGGGTGTTGAATCAATAAACTGTTTTTTTCAACGGCTTTTCATTCGTCAACCTGTTAACTGTTAATCATTAATAAAAAATATATATTGAAAATATTAGCTTTCAATTTACGTCTCAACGCATTTTTTTCAATATTATATTATTCATTTCCGTAAATTTAGTCTCCTTCGGAAATATTTGTTACTTCCGGAGGTTACCCAACACCGCCGCATCAACACATCGGACGCGATCTTGTGGGTGCGTGTGTGAGCGTGAGTAAATAACCCATCGTTATCGGACGCTGAAAAATTATGTTATTAATTAGTAAACTTAGTGGCAGGGCACAGTCAATTTGCTCGGGTTTTACACCTACAGCAAACAATTACTTGTTAATATTCGAAACGCTTAAAACTAAATATGAAGATAGGAGAATGTTAGCTTCCGAATATTTGAACCAGATATTCGATCTTAAACCTATATCATCCGCGAACATCAACGGCTTAGAGCAGTTTTTAGATAAATTTGTGGCATCGGTGGCTGCACTTAAGAACTTAAAATTTAATGACCTTATGGACGTGGTGTTTCTCCATAATGCACTAAAGAAATTAGACCCCGACACCGTGCGTGCGTTTGAAATGGAGCATCGTAGCTCGGAGATGCCTTCCTTTCATTCATTAGCATCGTTTGTGCGAGATCAAATTAAGGTGATGCAGCGCTCCCCGAACGTTAAACAAGAAATTAAAAAATGCGTCGACCGTAGACAGACACAACCATCTAAAACAGCAGGGTCGTTAACGTACGTAACCGCTACGTCGGCACCACTTCAGCATGCCTGTATCATATGTAAAGATAAACACGGTAATTTATACAATTGTGCGACCTTTCGTAAATATTCACCAAGCGAACGTTATAAAATCGTAAAGACAAACAACCTATGTCTGAACTGCTTAAGCGATAAGCATTTAGTTGCAAAATGCAATTCTAGTTCCGTATGTAGCAAGTGCGCCAGGAAACATCACACGTTATTACATTTTGAAAATAGCAACATATCGGCGTCAAGTAAAGCGGACAAGGAATTCACCCCTACCAAAGTCAACGATTCTAGCGGTCGACCTGGTGATGTCGCTCTGTGCTCATTGGCAAATATGGGAGCACAACCTCCTTCAACCGTGTTACTGGGTACGGCACGTATTTTGGTTAGGGATTCGCGTGAAAACGAACAAAGCGTCCGTGCACTGCTGGACAGCGGAGCCCAAAATAGCTTTATAACGCGACAATGTTGTCAGCGCTTAAGCTTAGTAATAAATAGGTCACTCTCATGTCCCGTAGTCAAAGGCATCGGAGGTACTAGTAAAGTTACCCAGGGATATATAAATTTAAAATTTTATTCTCGGACAGATCGTAATGTTAACTTTGATATAAATACACTAGTAGTAGATAGGGTCACTGAACGGCTGCCAACCGTTTCGGTTGACACCTCGTCAATGATTGAATTTAAAAATTTGACTCTAGCAGACGACACTTACGCCGTTCCTGGAAACATAGACATGCTCATTGGAGCATCGCTTTTCCCTCATCTTTTATTAAACAATAAGGTCAGGGGCAACTCCTCGCATACCGCGCCTTACGCATTGGAAACCGTCTTGGGCTATGTCATCGTTGGCTCCGCCCCCATCATGATTAGTATTTCGGCAACCTCTTATTGTGATATGGCTCATCGTCGTTAGTCCGCAAATTTTGGGAGATGGAGGAGGTGAACGTCCCACCCATAGCTAGCTCAGATGACAGATTATGCGAGGAAATTTACGTCCGCACGACCGTTCGTGATCGCGACGGTAGATATAGTGTAGCGCTACCCTTTAAAGGAGATGTTTTATCTCTCGGCGATTCGCGTCAAATGGCGGAAAAAAGTTTCTAGAGCTTGGAGAGTAGGATGCTCGCTTCATCCCAGTTAAAGGAAGATTATGACGGCGTCATTAACGAATATATAAGGGAAGGTTACATATCACTTGTGGCTTCGAAATTAGATAACTACGAAGACACACCGTCGTATTTCATACCACACCACGGGGTCATTAGGGAGGACAAACTTACATCTAAGTTACGTGTAGTGCTCGACGCTAGTGCTAAAACTAGCACTCACCTGTCGCTTAACGATATCCTCTATAGTGGGCAAAATTTACAAGGCAGTTTATTTAAGATATAGCCAATTTTCGTTTATTTAGTATAGCACTATCCGCCGATATTCGCCAAATGTTTCTTTGCATGGGGGTCCGTGAATGCGACCGTAGATTCCAACGCATTTTATATCGTTTCAACCCAAAGAAACCTCTAATGGTGTTTGAATTTAACCGCGTTTGTTTAAGTTTAAAGTCATTTCATGTGTTACGCACGGTGAGACAGCTCGCTCACGATGAAGGTCCCTCTTACCCTAAAGCTAAGAGGGCAATTGAGAGCGGTTTATATATGGATGATTTTGTATACTCGGTCGATAGCGTGGAGGAGGCCACCCTAACCACCGCCGAGGTTATAAAGCTCATGAAATCGGGTCAATTCGATCTTGTCAAGTGGACTAGTAATTCGCGTCCGGTTTTAGACACAACCCCACTCTCACACCGTCTTTCGGCGATTAAAGGAATTCGACGATTCTGATACACACAAGGTGCTCGGTCTGTGTTGGTCACCAGAGTCCGACGTGTTTAGCCTTAAGGTAAATCCGCCCGTAGAGAAGTGCACAAAGCGCACAATACTGTCATGCGTTGCTAGATTATGGGATGTCATGGGTTTCGTAGCTCCGGTGGTATTATACGCTAAGCTTTTGATTAAACAACTTTGGTTATTTGAATGCGACTGGGATGACTCGCCGCCTGACAGCATTGTTCGGTTGTGGCAGCGTTTTAGAGAGGAACTTCCTTTACTAAGAGAAATTAAAATACCGCGTCATATAAACGTCGATAGAAATAGCGTCATCACGGTCGTTGGATTTGCAGACGCCAGCGAGAAGGCTTACGGAGGCGTTGTACATTTCCACGTCCAGAATAATGGTAGAAATTCGATTAGCCTCATTAGTTCTAAGTCGAGAGTTTCCCTCCGTAAGGTTGTCTCTCTGGCGCCCTCTTTATACTCACCAAGCTTATTACCGCAGTTATCAGCGCATGTAGGGATAGAGTTCACATAGAAAGGATATTTGCCCTTTCCGACTCCACCGTCGCCTTATGCTGGGTTCATTATTCACCCCACCATTGGGATACGTTTCTCGCGAACCGAGTGGCCAAGATCCAAGACGAGTTAGAAACGCTGAACTTTTATCACGTGTCCGGTACGGAAAACCCTGCCGATTGTCTATCCCGTGGACTCACCTCGATGCAAATAATGGACCACCCGCTTTGGTTCCACGGACCTTCTTGGGTTCACTTGGATCCCTCGCAATGGCCAATAACCGATTTCGAACCTTCGTCAGTGTCACAACCGCCGGAAGAGAAGAGACATGCTCTAGTTGCGAACGTTTCGAGCGAGGTTTCTCCAATCATTGCTTTGGCGAACCGCTTGTCCTCTTGGTCGAAATCATTGCGTAGCGTAATTTACGTTTGTCGATTCGCGAAGATTTTACCGCGACGTTCGAATGTCTTAGCGTCCGATTACAACTATGCCGAGTCGCTAGTATTACGTGAACTTCAACGTGCGCATTTCTCTGAAGAAATTACAAGATTACAATCGAAATTGCGCTTCAACCTTAGCCATTTTTACAGGATGGGATTGTAAGGGTAGGTGGACGCTTGTCCAACTCGCAGTTGAGTTTCGACCAACGGCACCCTATAGTTTTACCGCGTAGACCATATCATGAATTTATTAGTCGATTACCATCATAAATTGAATTCGCACGCTGGCCCCGACTTGCTGATGTCGATCTTGCGCCAGAATTATTGGATTCTTTCTGCACGTAATTTAATCCGCAATCGGGTGCACAGATGTATAGCTTGCTTTCGGGCACGCCCCAAGCCGTCTATTACACTTTCATTTTTCTATTACACCGTGTCATAACACCTGCTTCAGAAGTCAATATGTGAAAATCGTTTTATTATTTTTACTTCTTTAAGTAAGCGAAACCTGGGTATGCCAGAAGAAGCACAAAAGCAAGTTGAATGCAGTGGAGATTCGATCTCTTTGTAAAATGTGTGGCGTTACCATTGCCGATCGAGTATCTTGTAGAGTAATATAATCAGTAAAGCCCTTTACGCACACCGGGTGATTTCGCTGGTCCGTTTAAGTTCACGCTCACTCGCGGGCGTGGTATAAGATCCACAAAGGCTTACGTCTGCATTTTCGTATGTCTAACTACTCGAGCGGTGCATATAGAACTCGTTGGTGGTCTAAGCACAGCAGGCTTTATGGGTGCATTTAAAAGATTTCTTTCCCGCCGTGGCCCTGTAAGTAAATTATATTCGGATAACGGTACGAACTACGTCGGTGCAAAACGTATTTTATCAGAACTACATGAGCTCTTAGCTAGCAAGTATTATAATTCGGAGTTCGCTCACATTCTAGTCGAGAACCGCATTGAGTGGTCTCTGAACGTCCCAGCCGCGAGTCATATTGGGGGCAATTGGGAGACTAATATTAAGAGTCTAAAGAGTCAGTTATACCGAGTAATAGGAGATCAAATTTTGTCCTTCGAAGAGCTAAGTACGGTGCTCGCTCAAATTGAATGCGTAATGAATAGCTGCCCACTTTGTCATACGTTGTCTAGTGACCCATCGGAGCCGCTGGTTCTAACTCCAGCACATTTTTTGAATTTAACGCCTTTAAAGTATTTGCCCGCCGTAGATATGAATGAGAACAGACTTAGCATTTCCGCACGCCACAAATTATTAGACCGGTTAGTGCAATCGTTTTGGAAACGATGGAGGATGGAATACTTGCATACTTTGCAGTCTCGGCAAAAATGGAACACAGCAACTGAGCCTTTAGCTGTAGGAACTGTGGTTGTGCTCACCAAAGAGAATACGCCGCCTTTCCATTGGCCGTTAGGAATTGTCGAAGAGGTCTTTCCCGGTTCCGACGGAGTAATTAGGGTAGCTCGCGTTAAGACCACGGTTGGGTTTTACATGCGTCCTGTTGTCCGTTTGTGCCCCTTGCCTCTTCCATAATTTAAACTAGCTTTCTAGATTAGAAATTGTAGTTGAATTTAGGTAATCTTAGAGTTAGTTATTTGTCAGTTTGATCTTAGCTCTAGTTGTTTTAGTTATTTTGAAGGAAATCCTTCAAGGGCGGGGGAGATGGTTGCGCGGAAAACCATTCTTATTTTATTTATATTTGACGGTAGACTTGCCAAATCGTTTATCCCTTTCCAAAACGATAGCATCCATACCCTTCTATCGACACATCGGGGTGGTGGGGTGGGAGGGGAGAGAAGATGATTCTAGAATATTACGCGATCATCGCAACCGAAGGAATAAAAGGCACGCGCGGCCGATACGCAGCCTCTTCCCGCCGCGCTCGTCGTTGGAACCACACCGCTTAAGACAATAGTGTCATAGAAGGGCGATTGCCCACGCGCACCGCTAGTATAACTGCTTTAGCCTGGACGCAGTCGAGCTCCAGGAAACCCGCCTCACCTCGTGTGAGAAATAGTCGCGCACCGCACTCTCTCCCGACGCATCACCGGACAAGAAAACATCTCTGGGGCCCAGAGTGTCTTCCAGAGGTCGCAGCGCAGCAACATAGTGCCCAAGCCGCATAGAAGCAACACCCCTGTTAGTGAACATTCCTTACTAGTTCCTGCTTGATATAATTGTGTCTAATAGTTAATCCGCTCCAATTTATTTTCTCCTAATCAAGCAGGATTCCTTTCATAGATTTGGCAAATAATAGTTCGTTTTAGGGAAGAGCGAGTGCATTGTATGGGAAACCGCGTGCTATAGTCGCCATTATGTAAACGTAGAAGCATTTCGCATATACAGTCCATTTTGGGTTTAATATCTCGCGTAATAGGTTTAAGGCTCGACCGGGGAATTGGACTTCGGTAACCTACCGGTAGGCTCGTCGCTCCACCAAATTGTATTAATATAAATCCTTTATATCTTTTCAAATAAATTATTGAAAAAAAAATGAAATTGGGCAGTAATTGGATTAAGGTAGGCTTGTTCTTTTGTAGCATGGTGTTTTCTTAGGATTAAAATTTAAACATATAAACTTTTGACATCTTTGATTCATTATTTCAAATTTAACAGGTAAAAATTTCATATATAATAAAACAAACATTGATTTGAAAAGTATTTAACTTATTTAAAATAATTATTTATAAGGGCTATACTTTCACTAACATTATGAACTTCCGTATAGTACACTTCTTCATTTATTTCCGCTGTTGGCAGCTCCACTTCTGAAGGAACTTCCTCTAAATTGTGGTTCCTACAAATATTGTGCAATACTGCGGTAGCAATTATTGTTGCCTGAACTTTAGGCAATGATAAACGCAGTGTTAATGCCACAACAGGGAAGCGACGCTTCCAGACACCGAATGTTCTGAGAAAAAGAGGAATGTGTATATTAGAAAAAGCTAGTTACGTGATTTTTTATTTTTATTAATATGAAATAATATGGTAGAATATAGAACCTCCTTTTCTGCTAAAAATAAAATAACTTTACAAACAAAGTAGTTACCTTTCAATAACATTTCTAGTTTTTATGTGTGCTTCATTATAGCGCTTTTCAGCCTCAGTAACAGGATTTATAATAGGTAACAGGTAACAAATATGGCCTGTTTGTGTAAGCGCACCAAGCATCCAGCGGTTACCAAACAGACCCGCATCACATTGTGCTGTAAATAAAGACATTTAATTAAATTATTGTACCACTGAAATATAAGAAAATCTAACAAAATTATTAAACCAGTCAGAAACCTCTAAGAATTGAGTTGTTAAATATTGTGGCATCATGTGTCGAGCCTGGCCAACGGGCAATCACATTCATGAATCTCAAATCAGTATCACAGATGGCTTGGACATTTAAGGAAAAGTAACCTTTACGATTCCTAAATTCTTCACCAATTACAAGACCTAGAAGAAAACATAGTTAGTGTATCTTTTTTATATAATAAGAGTGACAAACTAGTATGTAGTTCACACGGTGGTAAGAAGATGCTGTTAAAGACCTACGCTTGTTCTACATTTAAGATTAAAATGTAGATGCATTGTCACGCCTGAGAACTATGATAAAATACCTCATTATCATATTTTACACGGCATATTTAACACTTGTATTCTGTGGGGGTGTAGTTCTTCCCCTTTCGAGCCAACCCATTTGTGGTACATATTAAAGCATAGCCATACCACATACCTAATATAGTAAAATAGTGTTTTATAAATGATATTTATGATAAGAAAACAATTTTACCCCATAAATATTAGGAAATACTCACATGGCGATTGGATTCGTAGTGATCAATTGCGGCAAGAACTCTAGGAAATCCTTCAATATGATAGAATTTTTTCAGCACTATGCTGGTGTACAAAAATGTATTCATCATACAAGTTGGCAATTGCTGATGATATATCACGAACTATTCTGCCAGCTGTCGATATAGAGACTCCTACAAAGTCAGCTACAGAAATTAGCATCGTGCCTAATGCATAAAATCGTAGCGTTAGTAAAAGTTGATGGAGTGGTGAAACTCCATTGTTCCTGAACTTTAAACTATTACGAACGCCCACACATACAATGTTTTGAAATTAAATAGCGTTGTGTTTAAAAGCAGGTTTTGTAACCTAAATCTAAACGTGAACTCGGCATCATCCAGGCTCTGCATGTAGTTAACTCTTCTAATTTTTCGTGAAGAAGCGCGGTGTCTATCCTCAGCATCGCTACGAGTATCAGTATCCCAATCGGATAACTGAGCCAGCAAATCACTGTCATCACTATCACTAGAAAATATCGATATTTCCATTTTCTTTCTTTAGTAAAATCAACGCTGTGACGAAATCCCCGGTATTTCTTGGATTGCAATCTGCGATCGTTTACACCGGTCAAAACAAATGTCAAAATGGACAGATAGGTTATTAATATGCACAAACTGTCATTTTCGAACAGAGGCCAATCGTTATTCTGTGATCCGCCCTCTACAGGATAGATTGATTTTAAAGATAGCAAATTCAATGCACAGATCGTTTATTGGCACGTACGCACTTTACCCATAAAATGGATTAAAATACCAATCTAAGATAGCAAAAATTGGATCAGGATTGATTATTAATTTCGGGCGTAAAACGTAGACCTCAAGGTTGTGCGCACAACCCAAGGTACATTTTACCTTGATATAAAAAAGTTTATGTACCAATAAAATGAAATGAATGTTACGAAAATGTAATATAATACCCAAATAAATGGGGGGCCCTTATTTATAAAGTACCCACCCGCGTGATAAATATCACGAAATAAAATATAAATGAAATGAATTAATACTCCGATTCCGGGTATCTAATAAATAAATAAATATGTATAACTGGATAGAGAGAAAGAGAGCTAAAGGTCAAAAATATTAGGAAGAAATAAAAGAAAGTACGTACAAGAATTATGGAAAAAAGGCCTATTAATCGACGAAAATACAGGATAATAAGGGGATTTCCGAGCAAATAAAAAAGTGTGTAGTTATTTTGCATTTCTGTATCAGGACTATTAATGCTACCCAAAATGCGACTAACGAGTTACACATGTAATAACTATATGGAACGATTTACAAAATTACGCGAAAATGTGTTGTGTGATATTGTGCGCGTAATATTTTTACTACATTTTATATTATGAATTTACGACATTAATTCATATTTACAATAACTCTACTTAAATTTCTTTTTTCTGTCGTATGTTTTATGTAAAATTTGTACATTTTAAACTATATTTGGTTTATATTTTTCTTATAAAATAAAGTCCAAAGTCTATCGATACACTATTATTATAAATTTATTAATGTATACAATGTGTCCGGTTTCCGATGTCCGATACTTTAAGGGGTTAAAATACAATTAATTTTATCGACAAATCAGGGATCAATGATTTTTTTTTCGCCATCAATAAAAAAATGGCAGCACTTTAAAAAAAATTGTTGGCGAAGCATAGATGCTTGTATTAATTTAACAATATCTACCCAAGTAGAAGACTTTCAAAAACAAAATTGGTCTCAAATGTTAGTTAATAGTGTAGACAATAAATCTAGATTCAAAATATTATTTTTTAATTTTTCAGTATTAGTAAAAAACATTTTTGAAAAAATAAATTAGACAACAAATTGATGTTGTTTTTCATGTGGTGTCATTTTTACAATATGGAATCGTCAGGGTAGGCGGACGCTTGTCCAACTCGCAGTTGAGTTTCGACCAACGGCACCCTATAGTTTTACCGCATAAAGACCATATCATGAATTTATTAGTTGATTACCATCATAAATTGAATTCTCACGCTGGCCCCGATTTGCTGATGTCAATCTTGCGTCAGGATTATTGGATTCTTGCAGCACGTAATTTAATCCGCAATCGGGTGCACAGATGTATAGCTTGCTTTCGAGTACGTCCTAAGCCGTCATTTCCGGAAATGGCGGACCTTAGGTCTTGTCAAGTAACACAATCCGTAAAGCCCTTTATGCACACCTGGTCTGATATTGCTGGTCCGTTTAAGGTCACGCTCACTCGCGGGCGTGGTAAAAGATCCACAAAAGCTTACGTCTGCATTTTTGTATGTCTGACTACTCGGGCTGTGCATATAGAACTCGTTGGCGATCTAAGCACAGCGGGCTTTATGGGTGCATTTAAAAGATTTCTTTCCCGCCGTGGTCCTGTAAGTAAATTGTATTCGGATAACGGTACGAACTACGTCGGCGCGAAACGTATTTTATCAGAACTACATGAGCTCTTAGCCAGCAAGTATTATAATTCGGAGTTCGCTCACATTCTAGCCGAGAACCGCATCGAGTGGTCTCTGAACGTCCCAGCTGCGAGTCATTTTGGGGGAGATTGGGAGACTAATGTTAAGAGTCTAATGAGTCATTTATACCGAGTAATAGGAGATCAAATTTTGTCCTTCGAAGAGTTAAGTACTGTGCTCGCTCAAATTGAGTGCGTCGTGAATAGTCGCCCACTTTGTCGTACGTTGTCAAGTGACCCCTCAGAGCCGCTGGCTCTAACTCTAGCGCACATTTTTTGAATTTAACGCCTTTGAAGTATTTGCCCGCCGTAGATATGGACGAGAACAAACTTAGCATTTCCGCACGCCATAAATTATTAGACCGGTTGGTGCAATCGTTTTGGAAACGATAGAGGATGGAATACTTGCATACGTTGCAGTCTGGGTAAAAATGGAACACAGCAACTGAACCTTTAACTGTCGGAACTGTGGTTGTGTTCACCAAGGAGAATACGCCGCCTCTCCATTGGCCATTAGGGATTGTTGAAGAGGTTTTTCCCGGTTCCGACGAGGTAATTAGGGTAGCTCGCGTTAGGACCACGACCGGGTCTTACATGCGTCCTGTTGTCCGTTTGTGCCCTTTGCCCCTTCAATAGTTTAAATTAGCTTTCTAGATTAGAAATTGTAGTCGAAATTTAGGTTTAATCTTAGCGTTAGTTGTTTTAGTTAATTTTTAAGGGGACCCTTCAAGCCGGGGGGGATGGTTGCACAGACAACCATTCGTATTTTTAATTTTATTCGAAGGTAGGCTTGCCAAGCATTCCTTTCCTTAACCTATCGTCCCTCCGTACACACCGGGTCGCAAACCAATGAGAAGCGCGCTCCCCCGAGACGCCTTGAAAGAAGGACCGAAGTAATATAAGCGCGCGAACGGCCCTCGTGCGCTCTCTTCCATCGCACCACCGACCAGGACCGCATCCCTGGGGCCCCAGGAGATCCGCCAGAGGTAGCACCGCAGCGTCCAAGCCGCATCGAAGTCACACCCCGGTAAGTGTTCTTCTTTCTTATGACACCTGCTTGAATATTAGTGTTTTATTAGTTAATCCGCCGAATTTCATTTCTCCTAATGTGATCAAGCAGGATTCCTTCATAAACCTTGGCAAGCAATAGGTTTTTTTTTCGGAAGAGCGAGTGCATTGTCAAGGAACCGCATGCTACAGCCGCCATTTTGTTGAAGCAGAAGAAGCCAACCGCGTATACAGTCCATCTAGTATAACATCTCGCGTAGTAGGGTCAAGGCTCGACCGGGGAATTGTGACTCGGCAACCTTAAGGCCAGCCGCCCAACCAATAGTTATTATGTTTTTTTTAAACTAAGTAGGTAGGTAAGTTTATCAAATAAATGCAAAATGCGGTTGAAATATTTTTATTAAATTTAAAAATTATCATACTAGAATAATTATGTAGTTTTTAAATGTTAAACAAATTCTGAGAGGTTAACAGCGATTCCGATTCAGTGAATTGGTTATCAGCATTTGCTGTTTCTGCTGATGGTCGATTAGTCGATTCCAAAGTTGGTGACGGTGGCGCAGGTGACGATGAAACAGTTGATGTACTTGTAGTATACCCATATTGTTGTGGCTGATTGTAATATTAACGTGGAGAATAGACATTTGGTGAATAATTTCCCATATCTGCCTGGAATATTATATTATTAATGGCATGTTTGACACAGGCCAAGGTACCTTTATCGTATTTTTTTTAGTTCGTTGGCAATATGCAATCCATAACTTGTGTACGGGTCATCATTGTCCGCTGTTTTCTTCAAAAGTTCATATGCATTGTTTTACCATACTCTTTACCATTGGATTGTCATATTCTATTTTCTTTTTCTTAGCACTTTTTTGTTTTGGAGGGCGCATTTCACTGCTTGCTTCATTGTCATTAATGCCTTGACTATCAGCATTTTCAACATCCAAAACGTCTTGGGTTCGGTTTTCCTGTAAAAAAAATTTAATAAGGAATTGATGCATTGTAATTTGTTAATGGTTTGTTATTCTGCTTCAGGTTCCTCGAACAGAAAGTGAATGGCTAGATATATCACGAAAATTCAAAAAAAAGTGGAACTACCCTCATTGTGTTGGGGCAATGGATGGCAAGCATATTCAAATCATAGCACCGCCCCATAGTGGAGCTGAATATCGAAACTAAATAAGGGTAGAATTTCTGATGGAGGTGTATTTAAACATACCAATTTATATAGAGAACTTGAATATAAAACTTTGAATATTCCGCCACCAAAGATATTGCAAATTCCTTATAATGTAAAAGTACCTTTTTGTATTGTAGGAGACAACGCTTTTCCTCTTAATGTATATACAATGAAACCATTTGCTGGTAATAATTATATACGAGGTACTCTCGTACGAATTTACAACAGACATTCAAGAGCTAGACGAGTCGTCGAGAATGTATTTGGTATTATCGCATCCGTTTTCAGAGTATTACGTAAACCGATTGCAATGGACACTAATAATGCGGTATCAGTTGTAATGGCTATTACGCATTTGCATAACTTCATGCGTCAAAGAAACTATACTAGAGAATACTACTGTCCCATTGGGATTTTTGATAGGGAAGAAAATGGCGAGATAATTCCAGGTACATTTAGGAACGATGAGCCATTACAATCCTTCTCTTCTTTGCCACACGTACCCAGGAGATCTACCAACCAAATCAAAGAAATTCATTTGCATATCGCACGGAATTTTATAATAAATGCAGAATTACCTTGGCAATACAATATTAATTAAATTAGTTTACTTATAAGAATCTTCTGAAAATTAGCTGAGCTCAAAAGTGCCATAATATTTTCTGAGTTGGTTGACGCATAATGATTTCTTATATTTACGCGAACACTACACATTGAAATAATACTAGTTTTTACGGAATTTATCGCGTGTATTTAACTTTTTAATTACCCGACGTTTCGAACGCTTTACAGCACTCATGGTCACGGGCAGGACTGAGATGTTCAACGTCCATATGTCATAGTTAACCGCGGTTACCATAGATTAAAATTTTACTTTTGTTCCGATCTATGTAGTATGAACTTATGGTATCTTGAAGTCTTGCAGTTGTATGCTTGGGTTGGGATTTAATTTTATTTATTATAGGATCCCTAGCAGATGGTAGCACCCAGCCATCCTCTCTATTGAAATTAGGATGTTTTTTGATTTCAATAGCCTCGCAAATTACCGTACGAAGAAATTATCTGTAGTGTCGAGGACTGTTTATTTAAAAACAATATGCGGAAAGAAGATTTGGAGGCGATACGTCAAGACATCTCGTCTATGTTACGTCGATGTTCAGTGCCTAAACTGAATCTTCCCAAAGACGAATTTATAGCGTTAAAGAACCTACGCAATAAACACGAACTTACGAATCTCCGCGCAGATAAGGGAAACGCCACGGTAGTCATGGATACGTCAGATTATAATTCTAAAATACAAGAACTTTTGTCGGATGTAAGTACTTATAAAAAAGGTTAAAAACGACCCAAAAAATAGCACATTAAAAACAACTAGTGACCTCATAAAGAAACACTCCGAAAAATTAAATCTGGACGTAAAATGGATAATACCCACGTGCGCCAAATCACCAAAATTGTATGGGTTACCAAAAATACGCAAGCCCAATGCTCCATTACGTCCCATAGTGAGCCAAATCGATTCACCAACTTACAGATTGGCTCAACACTTAGCGAAAATACTCTCACCACTCAGGGGACATACAAGAGCACACATAAAGGATTCCTACCATTTTGTCAGCGAGATTAGAGACCTACATCTAGCAGACAATGAAACTATGGTCAGTTTTGATGTGCAGTAGGGTGGAGCGAAAAAATTTTTTTTTCCTAATTGTTTTGTAATACCTGTAAAAAGTTGCTCTTATAGCTTACAAATATTCTCACAAAATTTTGGTTGACATATGATATATTTGGAGGTGCCCCCAACATCATGAACTTTAGAGAAATTCACGAAATTTTGTCAAAACACACGAATGTCTAATTAACGCTAAGTCATATTGAGAGTGTCACCCTGTTGGTACAAGACATTCAATTTTGACCTTGAAATGTGTGCGGTGAGGAGCGGGGGGTTGTGGGGCACGGGGGAGGTGAATACACTACTCTCGTCAAACGTCGTTCGAATGCCTTTTAGTGCACCCGCGCGCGCGATTTAATACTATTACACTTGTGAAAAGCATTGATTTTAACGACTTAAATCAAGAAGTAAGACTCATGTAAGTAGTATTTTCAATTTCCTGCTCATAGTTAATGCAATTTAGATCAAAATTGATTGAATTCATACCTATTATTTCTCTTTATTACAGTCAAATGTCGCAAGTAAAAACACGACAAAAGACATCCTGTCCTGTGTTTGGTTTACCAGAGAAGTTACCCGTAGCTCAATTACCAACTTATAATGATGTAATGAAAAATTATTTATTCATTAAATATGAATTAAAGCCTGACAAAAAAACAAAAGAGCCGACAATTCATGACATATCCGAAAGATTGGCTCAGGAAGTTTTAGAAATTTGGCGAAAAGCGTCGCTGCCAACAGTCAGTCTTAAGAGAGTATTACAACTTATTCGATCCTACCATGACAAATATAGAAGCTTAATGAAACCTTATCGAGGCCGTCAATTAAACAAAAAATATCAAGAGAAGATAAATACATTCATAACTGAGTCTCATAAATTATTTGATGTTTGCAGTTGCAAATGCAAACTTATTTCAGATTGCACTTGTTCAAAAGACAGTCGTGTTCCCAAGGAAGAAATAAAATTTTTACTCGACCAAAGGACAACAAGAAAAATGATGATAGGTGGTGTAGATTTGGTTACAACTGTAAAAAATAAGAGAAAACTAGAAAGACAAGAAAAAAGTTTATTGCGTAACAAAGAGATATTTGATCCCAACAAACCGTGTTGTTCTCGTTCGTTGCCTGATGATGATGACTTGACGATCGAAAGCACCAGTTCAAGCAATAGCGTAGCTTCTAGTCCTTATCAATCGCCAAAACACGTAGCGAGACTACCAAAAACCCCACCACCACCAAAAAAAAGAAGTTAAATTTATCATCATTAGCCCTCGCTTGCGATCGTACTGGAGTCTCCGACAGAGCCGCTGCTATTATAGCTTCTTCTGTGTTAAAAGATGTTGGCATTATTTCAACGAAGGATCCAAGCGGTGTCATTGATCGTTCTAAGTTGCGTCGTGAAAGAACTAAAGTCAGATCATCTTTACAAGACGCAGATCGTAATAAAATCATACGCGGTATTTATTTTGATGGCAGAAAGGATAAGAGTTTAGTAAGTATTAAGAAGGAAGGCAAATTTTACAGAAAAAGAGTAACAGAAGACCATTATGTGATTTTATCGGAGCCAGGAAGTGATTATTTCGGGCATGTTACGTGTGAGTTGGGAACCGCTAAAGGTATTCAAAGTACAATTATACGTCACCTGAAAATGAAATCGGTGGATCTGAATAAAATAGCTGTTGTTGGTTGCGATGGAACTGTCGTGAACACAGGTTCCAAAGGTGGTGTTGTTCGTTTGATGGAAGAAGAACTTAAGAAACCATTACAGTGGTTTATCTGCCAATTGCATTCAAATGAGTTACCACTGCGACATCTGTTATTACATTTGGATGGAAAAACCACAGGGCCTAAATGCTTTTCAGGTCCTATCGGCTCTGAATTACAAAAATGTGAAACAATGCCAATTGTCGAATTTACCGTCATTCCTTCAACTTTACCTGAAATTCCTAGAAATGATTTGAGCACCGACCAAAAATATCTTTATGATGTGATGAACGCTATCAGCACTGGCGTCTTTACTTCCGATTTGGCTAATATCGAACCTGGACCCCTTAGCCATTCTAGATGGCTTACAACAGCAAATCGAATTCTAAGATTATATGCTACTAAAACAGACCCCCTAGAAAACTTAATGATATTAGCCACATACGTGATGAAAGTTTATGGTCCGATGTGGTTCACTATAAAGTGTAATCCATCATGCATAAATGGAGCTAAGCACCTGTGGCAAACGATTAGCCTGACTCGCTATTTGAGCGCGGATTTGAAGATAGTCATTGATAAGGTACTCATACGAAATGGATATTTCGGGCACCCAGAAAATATTCTTATTGCTATGCTTGGAGATGACAGAGAAATCATTCGAGAACTAGCATGTCAACAAATTTTGAAAGCTAGAGCAGAGAATGATCAAGGACTTCGAACGTTCAAAGTGCCTCCTTTAAATTTCGATGCTGAAGATTATACCGACCTCATTAAGTGGCAAGACTGTAAAATAACTGAGCCACCTCTGACTTACAATTTATCTGATGAATTCTTGAAAGAGATTGTCAAATGCGGTTTGAGAACATGTCAGAGTATAAAAGATTTCCCATGCCACACCCAAGCCGTAGAGCGCTGCATAAAATTGGTGACTGAAGCTTCAAGTGCAGTTTGTGGAGAAAATAAACGAGACGGTTTCATAAGGGCACGATTATTATCACGTCAGCAAATGCCAAATTTTGATACAAAAAAACAATTTAATATTTAATTACTGTGTTTCTGAACGATATCCAAATCTATCATAATTACTTAGTTTTACCTTATTTTTTTAATATATGTATTTTTTATATTTAACCAGACTTTATTTAACCGATTCCTAAGCTGTTACTCTGTTGATGGTGTCTACTACACTAACACATAGGTATATATAGAGTAGCGTAAGGAACTTTGTTCCCGCCTGGTGTGCTACGACATTCATCGCTTTTTTCAAATTTTCAATTGTGTTGGGGCACCTCAAGACATCATGATAAGTAAATAATATTTTGTATGTATGATTTACTCAATGAAAGGCAAATTTTTATCGCTATGCAATCAAAAAAAAAAAACAAAAAAAAAATTTCTTACATTATCACTCCACCCTAATGTGCAGTCATTGTTTACATGCTTACCTGTTGAAGACTGCATCTCAATTGTAACTAGAAGGCTGGAAGAAAACAACATGCCCATAGAATATGCAGTACCACTCAGACACTGCCTTACGTCTGGCTACCTATTGTGGAAGGAGGAGTTCTACAAGCAAGTAGATGGTGTGGCGATGGGCTCACCTGTATCTCCCATTGTCGCCGACATATTCATAGAAGACTTTGAGGAGAAAGCCCTGCTTAGTTCTCCCATAAATCCAAGGTTCTACAAGCGGTACGTAGACGACACTTTCACAATTCTACCTTTAGATAAAGTAACTGCATTTATAGACCATCTTAACTCTATAAATTCTAAAATTCAGTTCACAATGGAGTTAGAGGCAAACAATTCCTTAGCTTTTCTAGATGTGTTAGTAATTCGGAATCCTGATAACACCTTGAGCCGTACTGTGTATAGAAAAAAGACCCATACAGATAGATATTTAAACGGTGATTCTCACCACCATCCTTCACAGTTAGCTACCGTGGGTAAATCTTTGTTTCAGAGAGCACGAGGGATCTGTGACAGAAAACATCTGGCCGCGGAGCTTCAGCACGTCAAGCAAGTATTGCAAGACAACAAGCTTCGGGTCCCGCGCCTACGTCACAGTGAACGAGTGAAGCCGGCCACAGTCGAGCGCGCGCCTGCTCTACTACCATATGTTAGAGGAGTCACGGACAAGCTTGGCGACATCTTGAAGCGCGCTTCCATCAAAACATACTTCAAGCCGCTGACGAAGATTGGTCAGTTTTTACCATCGGTCAACTGTAATGTCCCTCTGCAAGATGCAGGAGTGTACAAGCTTGATTGTGAATGTGGTCTCTCCTACATAGGACAAACTAAAAGATCAATAAAAACCCGCGTTAAAGAACATATAGCTGATGTGAAGAATCGACGCTCCGAGAAGTCTGCAGTCTGTGAACACGTACAGGATCGCCCCCGTCACTACATCAGATTTGATAGACCGCAGATCCTCGCTAAGGAACACCGATTCCTTCCAAGGATGATTCGCGAGGCTATTGAAATCAAAAAACATCCTAATTTCAATAGAGAAGATGGCTGGGTGCTACCACCTGCTTGGGATCCTATAATAAATAAAATTAAATCCCAACCCAAGCATACAACTGCAAGACTTCAAGATACCATAAGTTCATACTGCATAGATCGGAACAAAAGTTAAATTTTAATCTATGGTAACCGCGGTTAACTATGACATATGGACGTTGAACATCTCAGTCCTGCCCGTGACCATGAGTGCTGTAAAGCGTTCGAAACGTCGGGTAATTAAAAAGTTAAATACACGCGATAAATTCCGTAAAAACTAGTATTATTTCAATTGGTTGACGCAGTTCATTACAGTTCAGTTAATTTTCACAAAATATATAACCACCAGGAATAGCGTACCTTTATAGTAGTCAAAGAATTATCCCTATCGGGCCAGAAGCACCAGAGTAATCTCCGGTAATGTTTTCGACTCAGAGTAATAAAGTAGTATAGAGTGCGCGCAACGAAGTGGGAACAGTAGGCACGGGTGAGAACAACACGACGTTCCCGCCGCGAGCGCTTGTATTCGTGGTTGAGTGCTAGCAGTGTGCGTTTCTCCAGAGATTTTTTTAAAATTTGCGAAATGTGCAGTTTGATCGTGCAAAAACGACACTAGGAAACACACGAAACTGAAATCTAATATCACATTTCATCGGTAAGTCAATTTTTATACTTAGTTTTACGAAAACAAATCATGCATCACGGGGGTGAAGGCGACGTGGGAGGCGGGCACGCATAGGCCCGCCCGCGCCCCACGCCACACCGCACTCCCCGCGCGAGCGACCAACGCTGTAGTCGATATTTTTTTTTTATTGTTGTCTAGGAGAACTACATAATATTATGTTTAAGTAACTTTAAATACTAAAAATCATTGATTCATTTAATATTATGAATAGTTTTGGTTTGTGATTTGTACGATATACTTTCT